GCACCCCGCTCGAGAAATCACAAGTTTTGGAGCGGCGTAGTTCCCAATCCGGTTTTGTAACAGAGTTATGAGGATTAAGCGGATCGGAAATGATTCCACGAATGTCCAAGAAACATCTGATGTTTGCTCGCGACACCAGAATATCGACCAGCGTTGGCATGGCCTCTGTCGGAACGAAAACATAGGCCTGCGCACTGGTTCCATAGGCCGTGTCACCTGTCTGTTAAAATGGCAGCATCCCACCATAGACAAGGCACTGGGATGAGGCGCCCCTGTAGGCTTGCAAGGACCTTAATACATGGTAGCAGTGGGGACATCAGCGCTAAAGTTCATTTATCCCATTTTGTCTCTCCTCGTCCTCATCGATCCTGCACATCCTCCACCTCCTGTCTCGCCCTACCCTACCTCCTCATCCGCATTATCCTCCTCGTTCTTCCCGGCCTCTGTGCAATGCGAACGCATCCCACGTGAACCAGCACAGGGCTATAATTGGGCCAGCGCGCCGCTTTTCTTGCACGCGTCGCCGGCTAGCCGGAGCTCACGGTGGAGGTTCCTCTCCCATCAGTTGGGAGGTGAGAGCACCCACGTGAGGCATTCCAGAAATGAAGCAGTGGCGAAGCGTCCTGACGTGCCTATAGGCCTACGACGCATTGTTCTAAGAGGCTTCTGTGGTCTGCGCGTAAAATGTTCTCAGAACATGTCTTGCCAGGGCTGCCTTGTGTTTTGATACGTCGGGCTCATGTTCTGAGAGCACCGCTTTGGATCTTCGAACATTTTCGGGCTCCAAGAACATTTCGTGGTTGCATCAAAATGCCGGGACGGCCGGCCCCTGCTCCAAGAGAGGGCCCCGCCTTCGAGGGATCGAGAAGCCGGCCCCCTTCTTAGCCTCGGCGGGAGGCCGGCGGAGGCCGACGGAAGCAGAAGGAGGCCACCTCTGCTGGAGGAAGCCGGCGGCAGCAACACGCGCATCCCTCGGGAGCCTTGAGACGGGGGTCACGGTCAGCAGGCGAAAACCCCCCCCCCCACCCCCAGTCCCGACGCCCATCCCCGAGCCGGCGGTTCAAGGGGTCGGGACTGGGGGTGGGGGCAGGTGTTCTCCATTCCTGGACCCCGAGAACCCACCCCCACCCCCAGTCCCGACTCCTTGAATCGCGGGTTCGGGGATGGAGTCGGGACTGGGGGTTGGGGTGGGTTTTCGCCTTCTCAAACTGGGGTCAGCCAGAGCGCTCGGTCTTGCAGGATCCTGCAGGGCCACGGTCGCACTGACCCGGGCTTGGGGGCCGGATCTTGCAGGATCTTGTGCAGGATTTTTCGCGCTGACCCGGGTTCGGGTGCAGGATCTTGCAGGACCTTGCAGGATTCTGCAAGGCCTGACTGACCCGTGTCGGGATTGACCCGGGTCAGAAGAGCCCCGAATCCCCAGAAGACGGCAACAATTTTGGGTTCAGTGTCTCGGGAACCCGCCACTCGCGCGTGAAAGCTGCCCGCGTGAGGTCGCGCGTGAGCGCCCTCGCTTCAGATGTGGCGTGCCGCGCTGGTGGCCCGGGTATCGGCGTCCCCCCAACATACTAATAGCATGTGTGTGCGTCGCCCCGCCAGGGGCGACGCGCGCACCGAGAAATCTTATAGGATATGCGTCGTGGCAGGCGCTTTCTGGCCACACCGCTCGGGAAAGGATACACCACGCGATGGGTATACCGTACACGAGATGCTCGGGCCGGACGCGCGCGCCTCCAAGGAGAACACGTCGTACTGGTACGTATGTCTTTGTGCGCCCCAGCGCAGGCCACGAATCAGCCCTAAAACGTACCCCCTGGGAGCCCTGCAGGCGCTCCGCGACCCTCTCTCGCCCTCCCTGGCCGGCCTGCGCCCGCCCTGAGGGAAGAGTGCGTGGGGAAGGAGGAGGAGGAGCAGGAGGAGGGGGGGGGAGGAGGAGGAGGAGGAGCAGGAGGAGGAGGAGGAGGAGGAGGAGGAGGACGAGGAGGAGGAGAAGGAGGAGGGGGAGGAGGAGGAGGAGGTCGCTTTATCCTCTCGCGTACCCCCGATCCGACGTCCCTGTCGCCCCTCCCCATCCGCAGCCGCTCGCCCCTCCGCGCTCCTCCGCCTCCGCGGGCGCCCCGGAGTGGCCGCCGGAGGCCACGGAGGGAGGAGCCGAAGCCGCCCCCCCCCTCTGCGCCGACCCCCTCTGCGCCGACCCCTTTCCTCCTCGGCGAGCCCCACGCTCTCCCTCCTCCTGGAGCCGCTCCGCCTCCGCTTCCTCCTCCTCCTCCTCCGCTCCGCCTCCGCTGCTCCTCCTCCTCCCCTCCTGCTCCTCCTCCTCTCCTCCTCTCCTCCTCCTCCTCCTCGTCCTCCTCTTCCTCCTCCTCCGTCCCCTCCCTCTCCTCCTCGTCCTCCTCGTCCTCCTCCTCCTTCTCCTCCTCCTCCTCCTCGTCCTCCTCATCCTCCTCTTTCTCCTTCTGGATCGCCCTCCTTCCCCCACATCTCCGTTGGTGACCATTGCCGGCCGCCGCCGCGTCTCCCCCGCTCCCTTCTCCTCCACGCTCCCCACATTTCTTCTCCTCCTCCTCCGCCTCCTCCAACTCCGCCTCCATATGCCGACGACTCACGACGACGACGACAACGACGACGACGACGACCACGACGACGACGACGACGACGACCACGACGACGACGACCACGACGACGACGACGACGTTGACGACGACGACGACCACGACGACGACGACGACGACGACGACGACGACGACGACGACGACGACGACGACGACGACGACGACGACGACGACGACGACGACGACGACGACGACGACGACGACGACGACGACGGACAACGACGACGACGGCGATGACGACGACCTAGACGACGACCTAGACCTAGACCTAGACCTAGACCTAGACCTAGACCTAGACCTAGACCTAGACCTAGACCTAGACCTAGACCTAGACCTAGACCTAGACGTAGACGTAGACGTAGACGTAGACGTAGACGTAGACGTAGACGCAGACGTAGACGTAGACGTAGACGTAGATGTAGACGTGGACGACGGGGGCGGCGGCGGCCGCGGCGCGGCGGCGGTGGCGGCGGCGTGCTGCTGCCTCTGGCGGCGTCCCCCTCGGCGTGCCTGCTTGGGGAGACCGCGGTGCCGCGAGGGTCGAGGAGACGATGGGGGAGGGCTGAGGGGCGGAGGGACGAAGTTCGAGCGTGGGAGGGAGAAGGGCGGAGGAGGCGAGAAGGGAGGGGAGGAGGGAGGGGACGAGGGACTGTCAGCTGGATTCTCCAAGTGTGCAAGAAGGCCCTGCGGGGCTTGGACCGCGCCGCCGCGATGGCCCCCGACACTTTCGGGCACAGCTTGAACGTGTCCTGGGTTGTGGGCCCGGATGTGCCCGCCGACTGGTGCATCCGATGTGAACACCATGGGACGCCAACGGTGCTGCCTTTGGGGGAGAAGTGCGCAGAGGACCGTAAGTCCAAAGAAAGAAGGCAGCTTATGAACGGTAACTTGCCGATGTCTGCATGCCGATTGCACGGAACCCTTCCCTTTCATGATAGTGCGTTGGGTAGGTGCAAGTATTTTGCCATTGGGGTGATTACTCAGTCTCCTCGATCTGGGCTAGTACCTGAGTGATGTGTTGTGCTTTGTATGACTCATCTGAACTGGTGTCTATGGCTATCTATAGGAGGAGGAGGAGGAGGAGGAGGAGGAGGAGGAGGAGGAAGAAGAAGAGGGGGAGGAGGAGGAATTTCCCGTATGCCCAGGGCCTGGCGTTGGGCGTGCCCTTTGGAAAAGAGCAGGTTGAGATAACAAGAGGTGGGCAAGAGGTAATGGTCAAGAGGCTTACCCAACTCCGCTGACCCCCAGAGAGGACCCAGAGATCCGACGCTCCAACCAAAAATTGGAGCGGTGGGTTTGGGGCCGTTTTCGGTCTCCTTGGGCCCTCGCCGGGCCTCGGGACCATCACACAACGACTCGGGATGAAAGCTGGCCCTAGGAAAGTGGTCAAGACCTCTGGGGCCCACGCATTGGAAAAATTGGAGCAGTCGGATGTCTGGCGCTGTGTGGCCGCTTGCGTGTAGTTGTCTTGGGATTGTCCCCCTTCCTCCGCCTCTGTTGCGGGGCCTCCGGGAGGCCTCGGGGCGGCCTCTTGGATGGAAGCCTTTCACGGCTCCTGGGTGATGTTGGAGGCCATCTGAGGGTTTGGGGGGATTCTCCGGGGGACATCTTGTGGGCAAGTTGGGCGTCTTGGGGGCCATGTTGTGGGGAAGGGTTTCCCAGGTCTCCTGCGAGTTCCCCCTCTTGAGTCTACGTGGCTTCTCTTGGGGCCCTCTTGAGGGCCTTCTTGGCCGTCTTGGGGGAGTCTTGGGCAGTCTTGGGGCCCTCTTGGGGCATCTCCGGACCCTGCCGGCGGACTTTTCGGCAGTCTTGGTCCAATCTGGGAGGCTTCTCGGGCCGTCTCGGGGCTGAACACCCCGAAATGGCGATAATGCGAAACTCATGCTGGAACCATCGGGAAGTACATGATTTGGGCATCGCAAGGCCGTCTTGTGGGTCCTCTTGAGCCTTGGTTGGGCGTCTAACAAACATCTTGGACCGCCCTGAGGCAATCTTGGATTGAAGCTGTTTAGAGGGCATTTGGGAGGTCGCGGTGCGTGGATTCGGAGGCTCCGACGGCCTGGCGGGTACGCTGGTGAGCTCGTCGACCCCCCCTGCCCCCGCTCTAAAAATATGCTCGACCCCGGGCCACCGGTGCGGGCGATGGCGACAGCGAAAGGGGCGGTGGCCGACGCGACGCAGCGCGAAGCCGAAGCGCAGCTCGCCCCTGGCGTGTGTGCAACGCCAGGGTAGCCCGACAGTGACGACGACGGGAGAGGGGAGGGGACGGGGGGGTGGGGGGGGGAGGGGCAGGGGGAGGGGGGGGCGAGGGGAGGGGGAGGGGAGGGGGACGGGAGAGGGGAGGGGACGAGGGGAGGGGGAGGGGGGGCCTCGCGACCGGCGGCTCAGGGCGGTCCATCTCCTGCTCCTCTTGCTCCTCTTCGTCCTCCTCCTGCTGCTCCTGGAGCCGTCGGACTCCGCAGCGCGTGCCGCTGGCGCTCCATACCTAGAACCAGGATGAAGAATACAACTGCGCCGACCGTGAGCTGCCTCGCATCGTGCTGCATCTCTGCGGGCCCGAGGCACCCAACCAGTGAACCCGCGGTGAGTCGGCCAGCCTCTTCGACGTTCTCGGCTCGCGCCCTCATTACTGAGACTCCCGCTGTCCCTGCAGCGTCTCGCTTGGTCGACCCTGGCCGCCTGCGAGCGCTGGCAGCCCGAAGCCGAGCCAAGCAGGAGGCATCCAGGCGCTGCCCGGTGATCAAGCTGAACGTTCTGCCTTGTGGTCGCCGTGTCCTGCTGCTCCCCTGTATTGGTGGAGCACGATCAGCGGAGAGGAAGCACGTTGCCAAAGAATTCCCAGATGTCTAGAACAAAATCATGCTGTTAACATCTCCAGGACAGTTCCCGACATCTTAGACACATTTCTATTTCGATGATAGGACTGCTACAGTCGGGGCGCTGAAGCAGGAACCCTTTTCATTGGGGAGGGGCTCCGTGTTCCTTAATTGTTTCGCAGCTTGCCTTAGGTTTCCCTCAGGTCTTCGATCTGACATCGAAGTTCCACTTATGGAAAAAATAGGGGCCTCGTTCCTGATTTGGGGTTCCTGAGGTCAACGCCCCGACTGCTAGCGTGCCCACTGCCGTGGCACCCACAACTCTCCGCACATCCGCTTCTGGCCCAAGCAGTTCAACCACGTCAGACATTTTTTAGCTTGATTTTGACGAGGGTTGTAGGACTGCCAGTGTGCCCACTGCCGTGGCACCCACAACTCCGCATATCCGCTTCGTGGCCCGAGCCCGGCCCGCGGCCCGCGGCGCGGCCGCAGGCGTCCAGGCCTCCTCGCCCCTTGGGGGCGCCAGCCGTGCCCCCGCGCCGGCCCTGGCCCGGGCCCCGCCGCCCCGGGGCCTCCATCGACTACACCTTAGGCGATGCTTAAGAAAACCTAAGTTTTCGTCCTGAGTCTCGATGATTCTTAACTTTTCAATGTAAATCCCAAGATTTTGATAGAAGTTCTGGGTTTTATTCACTTTCTGAGACTATGAATTTCTGAACCCATGATTTCTTAAGCATTTCGCAGGGTGTAGACGCAAGAGTGACCTTTCGCCGGAGTGACCTTTGGGTGCGGGCACGGAGGGGCCCCCAGAGGGCTGAAGAAACGAGGCAGGGGCAGCGGCTTGGCGTGCCCAGGTTTGGCCCCCACGCGGCCCCCCAAAAGCCGCGCGCCAAAGGTCACTCTCACCCAGGGTCGCTCTTTTGCGTGTGGCCGACCTCCAGAGCCCCGACGTCCGGCGTCTTGGTGCTGTGATGCTCCGACCTCCTGTAGCCTTGGCCACCAGAAAAAAAAAGATCGAGCACCAAGAAGTGCCGAGACTCGAGGGTTTCCACGCGTCGGGCCCCGGGAGGCACTCGCCCGACACGGTTTCGACGCTGCTTCGACACTCTATCCTTTTCCGGGTGCTCGAAATTCTTTCTGGGATGTGGTCCTGAAGCACGGTGGGGGCAACCAAGTCTGGTGGCCTTTTCTCGGGCTCCGCAGAACAAAGTGGAGCATCGGATGTCGAGCAGGGCAATGATCCCGATAGGGTACGCGATGCATTGTAGAGCACGGCATGGCATGGCGCAGAAGAGCACCGCAAAGCGTAGCATCAACCTAGCATTGCATTCACGCCGTGGCATGTCACGGGAAATAACGCCAGCGCTGCAGCGGGAGCACGAGTCGAAACGAGCGGAAGCGCGGAAATGAGGCCAGCGCTGCAGCGGGAGCACGATTCGGAACGAGCGGAAGCACGGAAATGAGGCCAGCGCTGCAGCGGGAGCACGATTCGGAACGAGCGGGGCCCGAAAAGGAGGCCGGCGCCTCAGCGAGAGCAGCATTTTGGAAAACATGCAGGCGAAAACCCAACCCCCGGGAAGTTTGTGTGTAAAAAAACCGTACGCGGGGGGGGGGTCGGACACTCCCAGGCCGTCATCAGGGGAAGAGGCAGAGGGAGAGTAGTATTCATATTGAGTAATTGTGGAGGAGGAGGGGGAGGAGGAGGGGGAGGAGGAGGAGGAGGAGGAGGAGGAGGTGGAGGAGGTCTGGGCGCCTTCCGGGCCAGGCTGGGCGTGCGCAGACACGCCCTCGCGCTTGGCCCAGGATGGGCCCGGCCAGGGCCGGCGTGGTGCGTGCCCGGACAGCGCGGAGGCAGGGCAGATTTGCTTCTGATTTTTTTGGTTTTGCGATTCTCACATTGCAAATTGGGCGCGCGCCTGGCGTCCAGAAGCGCTGGGGGCGACCAGGACGAGGCCCGGAAGAGCGCCTGGGAGCGCGCTGGGGCGAGCGCCCGGGCGAGCCCAGAAGAGTGCCGAGAACAGCGCCCAGGAAAGCGCCACCAAGAGTGCCCAGAATATGGCCCAGACGCAAATATGGAAGAGCGCCCGAAAGAGCACCCAGAAGTGCGCCCAGAAGCGACCGTTGTTGCGACTGATTTCGCGTCTGATTTCGCGTCCGATTTTTTGCGTGTCGATTCAATATCAAAATAAGTCTGACGCAAATCGGATTTAAAATCGGACAGAAATCGGACGCAAATTGGCGCAACATCGGACGCAAATCGGACGCAACCTCAGGCGCAAAATCGGGAGCAAAGTCGGACGCTGATGGCGTCGACCCCTTCTGGGCGGATGAGGCAGCGTATCGCGGTGCATCATGGCGAGGTCTGGTAGGGTGTGCATTGCGGACCCACGCGCGCAATTCAGCGTTGGAATTTTAGCGACGTGGCGAACGACAAACTGCGATATCGCGTTGTGTCCAGGTCGGGCCAAATCGACAGAAAAATCAGATCGCCGCTTCTGCGGCCGTTTTTCAAGTCTGTCGCGGCTTTGTTCGTCACACGGCTCCCCCAGAGGCTCTCGACCCCTCCTCCTCCTCCCCCTCCCCCTCCCGTTCCTCCTCCTCCTCCACCTCCTCCTCCTCCACCTCCTCCTCCACCTCCTCCTCCTCCTCTGCCTCATTCGCCTCCTCCTTCCCCGTGGGCCAGTTCTTCATCCAGGGCCTTCTTTTGACGGCGCCATGGCCTGAAATGCTGCAGCGGGCATCCAGAGGCACACAAGCAGTGAGAAGTCGGCCGTTTCGATGTCGCTCGTGATGCCAGATGACGAATTCTTGTGCGGCATCTGAAGGTCTCGTCTCCAGAGGTCTCCTTGCTGAGGCCTCTAGAAGCATTCGGAGGTCTTATTTCAGACCACCCCCTCGCCTCACGATGTGTTTAAAATCATTGTGACTTAGTAAAACATTGCCCTTTCAGGTGCGGCAGATCTCTGGGAAGTTGGCGCCCCCATGTCACTTCGGCGGAACCCAGCTGCACGCTACCACCACGCCCGGCCAGAACCACCCCCTCGAGCCCCAGGATGGTGTACAGCCGTGGACATGATTAGACCCTCGTGACCTCGGCCAGGAGGACGTATACCTAGTGATCCGATGCTTTGTTTTGTTCAACATGGCGTCCCTGGAAGCTTCGACCCCTTCCCAAGGACCGGCTTTTCCTTTTGTTGACGGTCCCGGGGCCCAGCGAGGGCCTCGGCGAAAAACCACCGTCCTGATTTTCCTGGACACGCTGGAGTTCTGGGTGCACCATGCCATGGCCAAGGATGGCCCTGGCCAGGCACGGTGGTGGCTCGCGGGTGCCGTCCGCACATCGACGAGCCCAAACACCTGCATCAGCACAAACTGTTGCAGCTCCGCGCTGGACCCCCTCCCTGGCGCTGGGGAGGGGGCAACGCCGATCCAAGAAGTCCGCGCGGAGCTTCGAAAGTTTTTGTTTATGCCGTTGGGTTCTTCCCTGTTTGGCACCCCCAACCGCCAGCCTCTGCCAGACGGTCCGCGGACGCGGCTGGTCTGACTGACCAGCACCGCGCTCCGCGGGCCCACGCGCGGCTCGTGATGGGCTTGTTTTCCACCACCACCAGAAGTTGGAGGGGCAGGGGGTCCTTTTCCTCCTCCTCCTCCTCCTCCTCCTCCTCCTCCTCCTCCTCCTCCTCCTCCTCCTCCGCCTCCGCCTCCGCCTCCACCTCCACCTCCACCTCCACCTCCTCCTCGCCGTCCTCCTCCTCCTCGTCCTCCTCCCCCTTTCCCCCCTCCAACTTACGGTGCTGGTGGTGGTGGCACACAGGCCCATCAGCTCGCGCGCGGCCAGCCATGGAGGCCGCCTCCCGGGCGGCGCGCAGGGGGGGGGGGCTCCAGGGCCGATCTCGAGGGCCGAGCGACGGGACGCTCCAGACGCCCAGACCCCCTCGAGACATTCCTCCTCCTCCTCCTCCCCCTCCTCCCCCTCCTTCTCCTCCTCCTCCTCCTCCTCCTCCTCGTCCTCCTCCTCCTCCTCCTGACAGAAGTTCCGCTGGGACTTCGCCAGCTTCGGCCTCCAGGGCCGTCAGGGAGCGACTCGGGACGAAGGACCGGTCCCAGGGAATGGGGTCGAGACCTCTGGGGGCCGACGTCACGGCAACAGCACGACGTCAGGGGTCTGGGGAGGGCATTCCCCACAGCGCCACCAGAAAGGAAGGCAGTGCCCGTCCCCCAGCTCAGGCTGGGCGGTGTGCGGCCGGAGGCAGATCGCACATGCTGGAGCGCTCGACGCCGACAGAGAGTGGGGGCGGACTGCAGAGCCCCACGCCCGCAGATCGAGAAGGGGAAACTCGCAAGTGCGTACCCCTGACCGTGAGTGACCTCTGCACGCGCACAGGCGGAGAGAGGGTCGACAGGGAGAGCAAAGCGACCTACGGGGGACTCGCGAACGACCGCGGGACGTTCCTCTCCCTCCTTTTCCTTCTGGATCCGGGCAATTCCTAATGCCGTCTTCCGGCTTGCTCATCGCGCGTGCGGGTTGCCTCTTGGCGCGCTGCGACGGACAAAAGTGTTTGGCAATCGTGCCGCGATGCTTGGCGGGGAATGGATGATACACGTCGTTCGGGACTTTCCAGCGAACGCGTGGCATTGACACTGGCCTCTCGGGAGCGACAGAAGGACGTACACGTTCATGAATCCACGCTGGTTTCGAGAGTGCGCATTGCGCAAATGTTCGTATAACGCGGCCGGTCTCGCGGATCGAGGGGCCGTGTTCACGTACATAGCTTGGCGCGTACGTCCTTTGTGTGCTCCCTAGCCTCAGCCCCCCGAGTCGCCGATGCATCGGCGGCGCGGTGGAACCCAGAGCCATGTCTTCGCCGCCGCCGCCGCCACACCGCCGACGCATCGAGCGTCGGGGCCCGTTCCAGCAGCTGCTCGCGCGGGCCCCGTCCCGAACGGCCGCCCCAAGCCCGAGCCAAAGGGCCCGAAAGCCAACCAGTGAACCGTGTC